CACACACACACACACACACACACACACACACACATATACACACTTACCATAAACTGTGCTCCATCTATGCTGCTCTTTGTCACTACTCTGTCACAGCCTGGCAGTTTAAGCTGAGAGGAGAGTGACGCTTTAAGCACATCTAAACCATGCAAGTTTTCTTGTATGTTTGGTGTTTCCTTAAATTAGCGTGAAATGCTACTTTTTAGATAAGGTGTTACCAACTAAAACAAGGCGTGAATGAAAAAGCAGGAAATATATATTTTTCTTGGTTAAAAACTGAGCTTTTGTTTTTGCTAATTATGCAGTCGTGCTTATCAGACGTTCATAAATAATGTTAATCAAGAGACTACAGTACTTGGAAGGTATAAACATCTCTACTTTCACCTTCAAACTAGTTTTAATACTCACCTTCCGCATGTAGTCCGCTAGAGTTTGGGGATTCCATCCCATCACCTCTGCTTTTGAGGGAACGTTAGAAAAATTCATTCTTGTCTGTCGTGAATGATAACTTACACTTGATAACACAGTGACTTTACTTGCCAGCCATCATCTTACTCATCACTGTGAAATGATCGGTCTAAAATTACCCCTGCTTAAGCACACTTTAAGCATGCATGTGTTTTTTTTTTACTCTCTCACCTATTGTGTAAGAGAGTAAAAGGCTTCTGTGGTCAGAAAGCTATGAATAGAGCATGCATGCACTGCAAATGGTCGATCTGTAAACACAGAGGCTGTTGATTTCATTTCTAACACATGGTTAAGTCTGCTCAAACTTGTTTGTCAATTTTTAATGGACAGCAGACTTGCAAACTGAAATGCAAACTCGGGATAAATACTGATGCTTGGATTGTAGATGTTGCGTCTCACATTGTGAGTTTATATATATTTATATATCTATATCTATATATCTATATCTATATCTATATATATATATATATATACACGCTTTTATTACCATTCTACCTTTTAGTCTTATTGTTGCTTGTGTTCGGTCTTTTTTCCCACCTGCAGCTTTTGTGAGACCTCTTGGTATCTCACACCCTGGTGATAGAGGAGGGCAGCAATGAGAAGGGGTGATCAATCACGCTCTGACCCCCTGAGCCACTCTGGGAGAATACACAAGTTCCCCTGGGGGGTCCTTGTGGCAGAACCCCCTACCTCTGTTTTCTTCTTTTATCCTGAATTGGAAACATACCCCTGTGACATGTAACTGCCACCAAATGTGGTATAAATAATAAAAAGTGATGGGTCAATGTAAGTTCTTCCTTAAAAAAAAGATTCCTTTACTGAGTCTAAAATGTTTGAAATGCTAAAATCATAAAACTCCTGCAAGATAAATAAATGCAGTTTAGTGGGTGAAAAAAATGTCAAATGCAGGGTCTGCTCAGGGGCATCTCACTTGTAGAGTGAATCCAAGCACAGCTGAGCATCATATGGGAACAATATGGCACCAGTAATGTATTCACTGGAGAGCAGAGATAAAGCGTGAGGGCCTCCAGTGGGGCAAAACCTTCATTAACGCACAGCAGGACAGCATGGGAAATACGGGACATCCCTAGAGGGGAAACAGACAAATGGGAAGTGTGGGAGGGAGCGTTTCAGGTCGGTGAGTGTTATTTGTTTGCTTCTGCAGCCAGGAATTTAACTTGATGTTATGCTTCTTTGATCCTTGGTTGTGTTAGAACCCAATTTTGTCCCCAAAAAAGTACAAAAGCTAACACTAGTCTGTTTATTTGTAGAGTTGTGTAACTGTTTGCCACAGTGTTTGTGTTTAGATTTAATATGACATGCCTAATTTCACATTGCAAACATGGGTGAAAACTGAAAAAGTGGAATGCATTCGCTGTTTTGCCCCAGGTCTTGGGGCTTTATGATGTAGAGACACCAGATAGTCTGATAATTCATGTCAGAATTTCTCACTTATCTCTGTGTTTTTATTGGTGCAACAGTAACTGGTCTGTAAAGATAGTGAAACAGACCTGTCACCAGACCCATAACTGTTAACATTCCCTCCCCCTACGCCTTCCCCTCCAGCCATGGACCCCCTGAAGAAGGTAATATCCATGCCATCAGTCATTTAGTGGAATCAGTGGCAGATTTATGACACATCCAGCTGAGAGGCAAGGTTTTGGAGATACAGGGGGTACAGGAGAGAAGGAAGGTGGCTCCTTTAAAAACTGACATGCCAGCAGAGATAGATGTAATACTAATACCTAATTACTTGCAAATGATAAGATTAGAAATCATCTTGCTTTTCAGGGAAAAAAGTGAGTCATGCTTTTATATAAGTGTCTGATTGCATACACAAGATTCGTGTAACAGCGAATAAACACCAGGCTTTAGCTTTAATGTGTTGAGGCACATTTGCATTCCATTTGGAATGTGACAAAGACTATAGCGTGGGCAATGGTGTCGCCGATTACCAACCAAACACTGTAACTTGAATGGTGGAAGCGCTTCCCTAATTTGTCTTTCAAAGGCTCTTTGCTCTTTGAATAAAAATCAATCCACATTGACATCAAAGTGGTGGCGGATAAACGCTGGATCCACACCTCGGTGTGGCGTAAGCTGCACGATGTTATCCCTGTAATCCCCCTTTTAAAATGCATGCAGTTGATTCTTATTATGCGCGTGCGCGGTGTCAGAAACTCTGGTGGCCCTCTTCTAGAGAAAAACTGAAATTGTAGATAAAATGTTTAGTTCTTTTTTTACATTTTTATTTTAATTACAGCATTCTTAATAAATATACACTAGGATATTATACACGAAAAAGGGGGGAAAGTGCAAACAGACAAATCCATAAACGCAGTCGTTTTCATTTGGGTCCACGATCTCTTCGTTTTCCATCCCCACCGTCCTTCCTGCCGCACACGTGTTTGACTGTAACGTGGGCGCAGTCCTCGCAGTGCACCTTACAGCACCAGTGGAATTTGCAGTTACAGCTACTCATCACCTCCGTGCGCTTTTCTTCCACTCTCAGGCCGCATTCGTGACACAGCCTGCGGCAGCTCCTTCTTTCCCCTTGCGTCAAGCCCCGTCCGTGCAGCAGACACTCCCTGCCCTCCGTGCCGTGCGCCCCCAAGCTGGCGTTCTTCCTGCAGTAGTCTGGAGAGTCCTGTAGGTAGATGAGCTCTGACTGAGCGATGCTGCCGAGCGCGTCCATGATGGCACCTTGGATATCCGCGCTGTTACCGGCGTTCATGCGCTTTTGGTCGATGTCCAGCTTTTCAGCGTGACTGTACTTGATCCTCAAGTAATTGCCCACGGCTCTGAAATCGGACAGCTGTGTCCAGCAGGTTTTGACACTGCAGCTCTCAGACATTCCGTGGCATCTGCAGATACGCGTCATTGTGTCTTTCACGGCCTGTTGGAAACAAGGTTCTGTTAACGGCTGCTGATGCCTTAGCGCTGAGTGATGAATGGTTAGTAAAGAAGTGCGTGTCGTTTGAAAATAACTCACCAATCGGCCAGCCGCGTTGTTGTGGAGGTTGACAGCAGCCCTAGAGTCCTGACCCGTCTCTTCCGCATCCACGTACTCTTTGGAAATCCTCTCTCCAAACTCCACGTTAGCACTGCAGCCACCCCATAACCATCCGCGACCGCCTGCACGACACAGTTTTGAATACTTAAAGATCATTAATTAAGAACTTGCATGGTGACAAATGGCGCTGCAACTCGTACGTTGACTCACCAAGCTTTCCGTTCTTTGAACCATCGCAGCCACAGTTTTCGAGTTCACCAAGACTGCAGTTCCTGGTCAGAGTGTACATGACCCCTGCTGAACTGATAGCATGAACGAAAGCCGTTTCTCCGGTGGCTGAATGAGAGGAAACATACAAGGTCTACTGCCACAGCCTCTTATAGGAGAATACATAACCAGCATTGACAAATAACGTGTAGAATGTTGCATTGTTTTTATTATAACTCCGTGATAATCAAAGCCACACTACAAAGGTACAAAGAAAAATAAAGTGGTATAAAGGTCAACATGTCCAAAGGTCACCAACTAAATCAGCATCAAAAACATGAAAAATAGATACAGATCCACATCCAGGGGTGTGCGTGTGCATATTCAAGCACGGGTAAAAGAGTATTTTAAAGACAGGTGTGGCCAGGGGCGTAGCAGAGATTGCAACAAGTCTAATAATAGTTCTATAAAGATATTTTAATTGATTTAATTGCTCCAATTAACACATAAAAAGCATAGAAACACTGGAAATTACTTTTTGCCGGGAAATCTGTGAAAACCAATCATTTGGTTGGAAATGCCGAATAAAACTTGAGGCTCAATAGAAAAACAATAACTACCTCGTTTCAGTCCTTTAAGCTGGGTTGCGCTGTCGGGGCAGTTCCATCTATCCCAGGCAAACTGGCGTTTGCACTCATCGACGCCAATCTGTGTGCCCACCTGCACGCTCTTTGCGTAGGTGAGATAGTCCTGCAGAAGAGGCAGTGACAGCCTGGCCTTTATTTTGTTTTTATTACATTTGAAATGTGGAAAAAAAATCTTGCCACAATAAAAGCAATCAAATAGATATATATGTATATATACCTTTGACCCCGTCATCAGAAAATTGCTTGCGACCCTGAGAACAATAATAATAATGATAATAATAATAATAAAAGTCATATAATTCTGTCTTCTGTTCACTTATTTTAAAGCATGCATGCAACTAGTGTATACATGTCTTACCAAGCGTATCCAGGATTGATTCTACACGAAACAAACAACAGCCAAAAAATTGATTGCGCCATCTTCACCTATCCCGTTATCGTTATCCTGCTTATAGAGATGTAGGTATTTTGACCCCGTGTGCTGCAGCTTTGTCCTTTACTTGACTGAGGACCAAATAAGTCTTGTTCTTTGTCTTAGAGACCTGAGAAAGCTGATTGGGTGACTGATTCAGGAGACGCCTATTCACACTTCAAAGGTTGGCATTAGGAAGTAATTTATCTACTTCCCAAAGACTGTATGACACCAAGGCATCCGCATATAAGAGTAAAAGACTCAGAATTTTACCACCGACAAACTGGGAGGCAGTTACGTGTATTGTATAAAAATATTTATTATTTTAAATAATTATTAGGTAGACTTTTAAATATTAAACCAATTTCAGTAGTCACACGTGATAAACAGCGAACAAACATCCCCGGAACTCCCAAGTTCCCAACACTGCTACTGTTGCTCCAATGCTTGGAGATTTTGGGCCACAAGACAAAATTTGACCTATACACACTCCATTCAAAATTAAAGGGGGGAAAGGTGCTTTAAAGGACTTTAGCTAAACATTTAAATAACATTCATGCGCTGCAGAATAATTTCTCATGTAGTTCGTAAATATAAAACTAGTTAATATGATGAAAATCATATTTATCGAATAATGTGAAGAGTTCAAATTTTGCAAGAGATCCCAGTCATTGTTGATGCGCACTGTTCCTGCCTTTTTTGTTCTTTTTCCTCCCAGTTTTGAGCGCACAAAAGTATTTGGCTACAACTCGCTTGCATTTTTCACACTTGACTGTGCAACACCAGTGAAATTTGCAGTTGCAGCTGGTGAAAACCTCTGTGCGCTTCTTCACCACTTTTAGGCCGCATTCATTGCACAATCTGCGGCAGCTATTTTTCTCCCACTCGGACATGTTCTTGTCCTCCTTAAAGCACTCCCGTCCCTCTGTACCGTGGAGTCCGAGGGTCTGGTTCTTGACGCAGTAATTTGGAGAACTCTCCAGGTAAATGAGTTCCGTTGTAGCGACGATCAAAAAAGTGTGCGTGACTGCGTCTCGGTTGTCCGCGCTGTTCCCTGCTCTCGCCGCTTTCTTGTCCATTTCCAGTTCCTTTGCATGCTTGTACTTCAGCTTCAAGTAGTTGCCCACTTCTCTGAAATCGGCCATCTGCATCCAGCAGGTTTGGATGGTGCAGCTTCCAGATACTCCGTGACATTTGCAGGCTTTCCTCATGGTTGCTTTGATTGCCTGCCAAGAGCACAAACGTTTTACCAAAAAATAAACAGAAAGCCAAACAAAAACAACGATCTCGTTTTTCATTTATTACGCCGTGTCAGAACACTATTGACATAAAAAAACGTCAATAATATTAAGATCAAATCTTACCAGCCTGCCTGCCTTGTTGTTATGCAAGTTGACCGCTGCGCGCGAGTCATGCCCATCTTCCAGCGCGTCCACAAACTGTTTGGAGATCTTCTCCCCAAAAGCCACATTGTCACTGCATCCTCCCCAAATCCACCCTACACCGCCTGAGACAAAATAGCACATGACGTTATTTCGCTGCAGGAATACAAGCCAATTTAGAAATCGCTTACTGTAACCGCGGATAGAATGCTCATGTTTACATGTTTACCCGGCTGTCCAATTTTGGAGTCATCGCAGCCGCAGCTGTCAAAGTCCCCAGCCGTACAGTTCTTGGTGAGCGTGTACATCACTCCGGCAGCGCTGATGGCATGGACGAAAGAAGTTTCCCTTGTGGCTAAAATAAATAACAAACAAAGAAATCCGGATTATTTTACTTGGATATCCAGTTTGGCACGATTAATGCGTAACTGATGAGTTCTAGTTTTGTGCGTGAAAAGCACTTTACGCGCAGGCGCATCAAGATTGCTGTCCAAAAAAGCGCACGACCACACTAATTTTAGTTGCCATAGATTTGATCCAAAAAGAGTTCTTACCACTCCGCATGCCGTTGTGTGGGGACAAAGAAAGCGTGTTCTCTGGACAGTTCCACTTCTCCAAAGCGAATTGGCGTTTACACTCTTGTATCGCACTCTGTGCGCCCACTCGCACGCTGCTGGCATAGGTCAGATAGGCCTTGGATGAGAAAGGAAAGGAAGTTATGAATATTAATGTTAGTGCTAATTATATAGAATTTGGCTGGAAGGAACAGCTTTTACGCAGCATTCATTCTTAAAATCTTAAATGGTATTACCTTAGGTCCAGTCATCAAGAAATTATTCATGGTCCTGTAGAGGGGAAAAAAAGATAGCCATGTTAAACCTGTAAGTTATTTTACCAATTGCAAACCCATAGAAACTATAGCATTTAAAACTTTTTTCACGAGAGAAAAAAAAGGACATACCAAGCAGACGACAGCTGAAAAAGACAACACAGGAACAGAACCAAGACTGCAGAGAAATTCAGTGGTTGCATAGCGTGTGTATTCCAAGCAGAGGCTAGTGTGACGTATTCCAGATGTGAGCGCCAAGAAAAGAAGGAGGCGACTGAAGTTTGTCGCCCTACTCGGCGCTCATGATATTTATATGGTCGTGCCCCCTTTGACAGACAGATTTGTCCAGCAGGTAACATTTTACTGTGAAATGCGTCAACGACATTGGCTGGGGCTTCCCAAGGACAAATAGGAACTGTCGGTGCATAAGTGCACTTCAAAGAAGCAACGCAGACGAATTCACCTGTTGTTCCCAGGCTCTGATGCTAATTATAAATACAAAGTATATGCATGGATTTAAAGTATATGTATATGTGTCAGTATCTGTGAATCCATATGAGCACTACGTATAGAATAATTAAAACCATCTTCTAATAATTCCCCGGATTTGGAGACATTTAAGAATAAAAGTATTATTTTAGACTAATAGAAGATCATTATTCACACAAAAAGTCATCTCTGTATGGGTTCATTGTGATGATTATTGTTCATCTTCATACATGTGCACACAAATTGAAGATAGCTTAGCTAAAAGATAATATAAATAAAATCACTGGAACTCTGTTCTGGATGCTGAATCGCGAGGCTTGTTGTGTTGAAACATTTGGGAGATGGCACCAGTATCCCATGGGGACACTGGGTACTACAAAGCCTTACAGCTTTTCAGGAGTGACAGTATATAGTCATGTAAATACCGCCTCACACATCGGCGAAATTGGCACCGTTGTGATAATAGGATAATAGATGTTTCCCTGGGAAACAACTTGGTGCGAAAACAGTCTGGGATTTACACGAGTAAAGACACATAAGACACGTAAGGGCTATGACAATTAAAATGTAGCATTGCAAGGTCATTTTATTTCATAATATGTTTAGTTTGACTTTTGACCAAATATTAAAAAACTGTAAGTTGTATGTAGGCTTAAGCATTGGATGATCCTTTCAGGCTGATCTCGTTTAATCCCGCTGATTCGCTTTCTTGCTTTAGCCCACATAATCATGTCCCTCATCAAGGAATCATCACCACCAGTTTCTGTCTTTTCATACTTTTACTTGCGACTTGGTCAGCGGACTTGTCAGATCCCCTTTAAGCCACTCAAAATCCCTTAAAACAACAATTCACTCAGCCTGCACAAAAAGCGGAGAGGTGTAGGTGTCGATAATCCCCACTAATTAGATATCAGCTAAGGTCGTGACTGAAACCTACAGCTCCCCTCCCCGGGTCTGACTTACTCTCAAAAAGTTGAGAATAGTAGAGAACAGCTTAAGCCAATAAGGAACCTTTAACGATATTAATGGATTTACTGATAGAAACAATTCAATCTGGGCGTGTCTACATGACGACATAAGTATCGAAACTGTCAGGACTACAGATCAGGACAAAACACCGGGCTTATTGGGTGACATTTTAAACAAATATTGCAGAGAGCACATAGAAAATTTCATTTATTTTTTTTACCCACCACCTTACACACATTGGAAGTGAGAACGTACGTTGTACACACACGTACCTTTTTAAGTAATTGACTGTGGTGAAGTGAATAGTGAAGTGAATATGCATTAGTAAAACTGAGCTAAAATAAATTTCGGACACACGAGACCAGTGAGCGTCGGTGAATGGCTTGCAGTGTGAAGTACGAGAAGTGGGTCTATCAAGATCGGGAGGTGACAAGTTTGACAGGCGGAGGCAGGGTGGCAGGAGCAACACCCAAAAAGGCGGAGATTTGGGGTTATAAATCACTGATATTGAGTTTAGGATGGGTTTAGTCTTGTCATTTTTGGTGTCACCGTAATGTTTACTGAATAATTCTGAACATCAATTTAGAAGTCAAAACATAGCTGTAGCCAGTGCCTTTACAGGAATATTGGGAATGAAATTATTTTTCACAGCATACTCAGTTATACGTTTTTTTTTTTCTTCCAACGCAGGTGATGCAATCAAATCTAACAATACAAATCATTACGTGCTATTGTAACGGTTCATACCCCCACCCCCATAGCGCTATTTCTGTCAACTGCTCCATTTAACTTTAATATTTAAAATGAAACAATTATTTCAACAGGACAAATTGCTGTCAGTTAAAACAATACATATACTACGACTGTGGATACAGTAACAAAACTGTTAAAGCTTTGTTGACTGACTTTTTCTCCAATTTTAGTTGATTCACCGAGCTCAGCAGCAGACGTCAGGCGTTTAAGAGTCTATAAATATGTGAAAAGGCTGGTGTCTTTTATAGAATCATGGTTTGGAAGTCCTAACTTGTGGATGGTGGTCAGGTTAGGGATGATCTTTGGACACAGGAGTATGGCTGTTCCGCTATATTAATGCGCCACACTCCTGCGTGCATCATCAAGTGCAAGGGCAACAAACCTTCATAGCAGGGTTTTCCCATACAGCAGTCCCAGAGCATAACTGCAATTCAACAAAGTTGAAATGGAAGCTGCAGATCTCACCATAGCAGGGAATTCTGACGTTGATTATCAGACCTGTGTTTAACGTTGCTTAGAAATGTTTGTAGGTTTTTTTTTCTGCCTCCTGTAAAAATCTTACACTCTCAATTCTCTTCATTTTGCATTTATTTTGTTAGTGGTAGTTTTCACACTGAAACCGCAGTGCTTGATTAGATCATCCCTCTGTACACTGTCACAAATGGAAGCGTGAACATCAGCTTTCTGATTTTTTTGACCATGTGGACATACATTTTTATCTTCATGTGGTCAAAAATTTATTTTTTAGTTTGTTAGTGACTATTTCTTCAAATGTAGTGCAGTTTGTATTTTTTTATTTTAAATTTTTGATACTTCTCACTTAATTTCCCCAATCCTTCAAATGGAGTCAGTAAGCGCTTTATGGAAAACTAGTTTCTTTTACCCACTGGTACTAACATTCACTTAAATCTGGCGCTTACCTTTTAAACTAACAATTAATTCTATTCTATTCTAGAGCCAAAATTGACAGATTGTATTGGTTTAGTCCGACTAACACCATAAAACATACACTGTTCTATTTATTACATTAGCCTGAACCCCCGAATAGTTAGCGCTTGTTTTCTTAAAAAAAGGCTAAATGAATTATTGTTATGATTATTATAATTGTTTGTTATTGAAGACAAATTATTTTGTCTATCAGTCAAGTAATAGCAAATAAGACAGGGTATGTTAGCCACTGTGATAAACAAATTGGAATAATTTCTAATTCAGAATTATTACTCAATTACTATATTTCTATTTTCAATATTGCTTTGTGTTTGTGTGTGATTAATTTATTATTTAATTTAGTTCATGTTTAACATTACAAGAGTCAGCATAAAGGGCATAAACAGACAACACAGCTGCTTGAGGCCTCCACACCACCAGGGGGAGTCTCATGCTCATTAAATGTTACACAAAACTAGCGGGTAAATGTATGTATATATTTTTATCCGTGGAATATAAATTTTGATCATATAAAACAAAAACAAAAATGAGCCTTTAAGTAAGGTGAGCTTGGTTTATATTGTATGTAAATCAAAGGCATTATGGTTGGCAGCCTACCTTTAGCTTACTAGTCAGTTATAACAGCCCAGAGAACATGTGTGGTCTTTGTGTTTGGATTATGTTCCTAAATAACGATCATTTTAAAATAATGAAAAATATTCTATTAGCTAGTTCTTTGGTGTAAGATAATTGTTATTGCTCAGTAACTAACAGGTGAAAATGTATGTCCTTAATATTTGACTACCATTGTCCCATTATGAAACAGGCCTTTTGTTCTATAGACCAGCCTTATTTTGGAGTCTTTGCTGTTATTCCCCAGCAATGCTGCCTTAATCTAGCATTGTTACACCTCAGTTAGCTCCGTGTTTTAATTTTTAAGACCTGCTTTTACTGCTTGATTAAAATATTTCCTCAGAAGCTTTGCTGAAATATTTCGGAACATAGAAAACAACATCTGCCTATGGTGCTTTCCAGCACACTATAAGCCACGATAAGGGTTGTGTTAGGCGTACAAAGCACAAAAAATCAAGCATGGACCATATATTGTTATCGCTGGCACTTCTGAGGTGGGGGATGGCTTCAGAATCAAATTGTGCATAAGCCCCCATAAAACATTGGGCTGATTAGCCGCTAGCACTATATTTTCTGATCCCAAACCTTATGCTGGTTTATTGTAATCACATTAACATTAGCACTCTAACATACATTAGTAGGTAAAACATACACCAGTATTATATTACATTTTTTTCTATATTTTAATGTGTGAGTCATTTGCTTTATTTCTTTGCTTCATAAATACAGTGTGTGTCTGTGTTTGTGATTGTCTTGATTTGCACATCTGTAAAAACGAGACATCAAGATGCACAGGACTGACTGGTTCCATGTCTTCATTTTTATTTCATAAATAAAAGTAAAAAGTTGATTAAGAAAACATCCCACATGATTTAACTTCAATTACTCCCATGTCCATAACCAGCTCCCCACCAGCCTTATAGCCTGGATGCCTGCCTGTCTCTCTGTGCTACATCACTACACCACTTCCCAGTTTGGCACCATTGGAGACATGTTAGCTATACGCTAACAGCACAAGACAGGCACCCAGGCTGGAGTTTTAATATTGGTTACAGAGGCTCCCTTGTGAGGATGCCATATACCCTTAACAGCACCCTGGGGAGCTTAAGAGCACCCATTTCTGAAGACAATGAAAGAGATTCAAATACTGTAATAATCAAAAGAAAGTGCTTTTTGTTGCCGCATCTCAGCTTGTTTTCTTCGTGTGCTTGAGTCAAGGTGTGGCATCGCCTTTCCTCTCTTGCTCAATGGCTAGAAAAGAAGAGAGAAACACAACCGTTGGTAGGCTCTTGTTCAGTAAACGCGTGAGAGGATGTTGCTTTTTGATTTTGCTGTGTATAAACTGCGTGAAGACATTGCAGCTGTTTGCTTCAGAGCTCCCGCTGGCTGACAATGCGGTCTCTCGATTGCACAGGTAGTGATGATGAGGAGCTACTGACAGTAACAAATGATTGCAGACAACGAAGCCTTTGTGGCTTCAACAGTGATCAGAAACACACGGTGCACAATGAGCACTCACTCTCTTTGGTGGGCAGAGGGTTTTTCTCTTTTGTCTCCGTCTTCTTCAGCTTCGTCTTGTCGAAACGAGCGATCTCGGTCATGTCAGGCTTGTCAGACATTTTGGCTGGCAAAGGTGAGAAAGATACCTGAGCACACACATTTGACCTTTCCTGTCGAGCCTTAAATTGATAATGCAGCATAATGTGATCAAAATCATTGTAGCAATCTGAAAGTTCATCATAGGAGCCATTAAATCTGTGAAAGCTTTGTCTAGCCTTTAGCATAAGCTCTGCAATGACTGTACATAAAGGGAGTGGCTACTACATGTGCTGCTCAGACTACATCCACATGGATGAACATGGGTGGTGGCTGCCTCCCACACGGCTTCACATTGGCTTCTCCAAAACGTAGATGTAGTCAACATGTGCTTGCTTTCACCCAGCTGTATTTTCTTTCCTTTGTCCCTGATTTTACCTCTCTAAGGCTAAAGTCTTTGTTCTCTCCCTCTGCATCATCTCTCTCTCTTTCGCTCTCTCTCACCCTACTGCATCCACCCCTGCAGCCTTGTGGATATAGGCAATGCTCCACAGGCTCCACTGCAGTCTTATTCCTAGGCTAGCCTCAGGTCTGACTAATCTGCCTTTCACAGTCTAGCCCCGTCATGCCTGTCTGAACTGCTGCTCTGTCAGAGTCTTCTGTGGAAATATGACAAGCCCACAAGCCTGCAGCAAGTCATTTACAAACCAAGCAACGGCAATCTCCTCACTAGTGTGAATTTGAATGGGGCCTAGGAAAATCACTTTGACAAAGAAATAGATATGCTTGGCGCACATCCAGAATTTTTATGGCGCACTGAGTCATTTCTTTATCGCGACATGTATATACACTAAGCTTAGCATTAATATTAATTGCAGCAGTGATATTTTCACCCTTTCCGATTCATTGTTAAATCCAATTATCCAAACAATTTGTAATATTGTATCTTTATCACTATGACCATCAGTGTCCTCAACATCCCTTTTCCCACATTTTTTCTGCTGCCATTGCCCATCCAGCCACACCCAATCCTTTGTCTGAGTCCTGGTAAAAAATCAGAACCAAAGAGAAACACAGAAATGAAGAGCATACTAAGAGATGAATCGTTCTTACCGACGTTCCACGAAGCAGTGGGCTAAAATCCACCGGTAGAGAGAGTAGGGAGGGACAGCGATAGAGAGATGGAGAGAAGAGAGTGGCACGGAAGCTGAGTGATTCTGCCGGTGTGTGCACGCCTGCCTGCATCCAGGGTGCGGGTATAAGAGAGAGGGAGGGGAAGAGAGAGAGAGAGAGGTGGTGGTGGTGGTGGTGGTGAGAGAATGACTGAGAGCTTGGTCAGCCTCCCTTCATGTCATCAATATTAATGTTCTCAAGGGGAAAAGACTAAAAGGAAAGCAAACTCTAACAAGAAACAGCTGTTTTGTGTAGATCATCTAAACTTAAAATGCTTAATTATTCATCTAATACAAAGAGTTTGTTATACATTGCCTTAAACCATGTTTTGCTGAGTAAGCTGGAGACACAATGCACGAGATGCTAAAAAGGGGAGTCGAGCTGCTTCTATTGCTAAACACGACGGCATTTAATGGATGTGTATAGTGTATTTCACTGAAAAATGATATATGTTATCACTGTACTTATTTGTTTTTTCATTTGTCACTATAGTAAATAATAAGTATAGCGTTATATCAAAGTTCACTAAGTAATAGCGGTTTATTTTTACTGAGACATGCCATGGACTAATACCACATTCCACAAAGTATCACATTGTGTCGTTGCTGTTCATGGTCTAAGCATCTGCAGTGGTGAATAAATAAACTGTCATACATCTTGTGCATGTTCTCTCAGTGTCTGTGTAATAGTGTGAGGAAAGTACATATTACCATTAGCAGTTACATATAACTTTGATATACTTCTCTCCACAAACCACCAAAACCACCAAAACAGGAAGTAAGGTAACAGGAAAGAGATCGCATACAGTTATTAAAATACCCAGTACTTATAACAGTAACACCTAGTATTTCCTGTTTTAGAAAGATGTGAAACTGTACCATGGAACTGTATACACTAATGTACTAATGTAATGTACACTAATGTATACACCTTTAATAACTTATAGTGACAGTATATCAGCAGCACTTAATTAAAAACAAACAAACGAAAACAAAACCATAGAAATGTATATTTGCATTTGTCAAAATAGATGTCACTACTCTTGACAATAGCCTGTTTATATCACAGCACAAAAAATTTATATATTTATTCTCTCTATATATTCAAATATTTAATATAAATTCATGTGAAACTAGAAAAAAATACAGATTAAATAAAAGCAATTAAAATGTCCACAAAATGCTTGAAATAAATGGTAAATGGCCTGTATTTGTATAGTGCTTTACTTAGTCCCTAAGGACCCCAAAGCGCTTTACACTACATTCAGTCATCCACCCATTCACACAAACATTCACAAGTGATCAATAAAAGTGATCAATAAAAGAAGATATAGAATCAAATATAGAATTGAAAAGAACTTGCATAGCACAAAACTTCTTATTTTCTATTTACTATTTCTTTATTTCTAATTTCTTCATTTGAATGTAACATGAAAGATTCTTTATATAAAGTTTATATAATAATTTACTGTGGGAAGCACCAACAACAATGTGATGGCCAAACCCATGGCCACACTCTAAAAGTCTAAGTAACTCTTATGTATTCTTTATTTCTTCATTTAAAACAACACACTTTATTTTGCAGTAGTTTATTGATTGGTTTGGATACATTTGTTCTATTTGTAAGCACGCACATTTAGTTTACTCATGTATTCATACCACTTCATTACTTTGTTTGGTTTGTGACTAATATTTGTTTCTTTTACCTGTTTCTCACCTTTCATGATCTCTGGGAGTTGCCAGACAAAACGTGGTGGCCAGGGTTTAAAGCAGTTAAATAGAAAGAGGGATGATTGGACTGCACCACCAGTTCCTGCTGAAGGGGGAGAATGTGTATTTTCTTTAATTAAAAAAGCTTTTGTACTTAATTAAATATTTGAGTTTAGGGTTTAGTGGGTTTTGATTTTCTTCTTCGGTGTTTAGTTTATTAAAAAGCTAGACTGTGCTGCATAGTTTTTGTGGTTTATGATTGTGTTTTGTTTAGTTACCCCTGTTGTGTCATAGTGGTCTGACCCAGCTACTGCCCCTGTGTGTCATTTCCTTTGGTTTTTTGAGTTTGGAGTTCTTTGCCTGAGTTTGATTTTGTTCCTTTGACCTCTTTTATTAGCTCAACATTTATTACTTTTGTAAACATCATTTTTTGGGTTAAATAAATGAAAACCCTTTTTTCTAATAATTCCTGTGACTCCTGCTAATTCAACTCGGTCCATCATAAACAACAACAACAACAATGATAGTAATAATTATAATAGAAATCTTATTTCCCAAAGCATTATTTCTTATGTAATTAATATGACTAATTTAGTTAATGATATATAAAAAAGGAAACTCTGCTTTTCTTTAATACAATTTACATATTTTATCAACATTATTGCATCAAAGTTGATATACCATCATGTGACTCTGGTGTCACAGAAATTTCAAGTAAACATTTTATGTGTTGTACTTACATAATAAACCCAAACTGCATGATTTTGACCCCAATATGAAATAACTGAAATAAACACACAACTGGCCAGCCAGGAGATCTAATCTCTCTGGAATGCCTTGGGTCTACCCTGGGGCCTCCTTACCTCCTCCTCCTTCTAAGGCATACCAAAAACACTTCATCTAGGAGATGCCCAGAAGCCATTCTGGTCAGACGCCTGAACCACATCCAACTGGCTACTTTGGATGTGGATTCATAGTGGCTCTACTCTGTGTCCCTCCCAAATCCACAAGCGTCTTATCCTATCTACAACAGACAACCCAGACATGCTTCAGAGGAAGCTTGTTTCTGTTTGTATCCATAATCTCATTCTTTCAACTATCCAGAGCTTGTGGTCATAGGTGAGCGTCAGAACATAGATCAAACTGTAAATCAAGCTTCATATCCACATTACCGAAGATGCCACACCAATCCATCTGTCAAACCTCCCCTCAAACATACATAAGATCCTGAAATACTGAAACTCGTCACGGACACTCCACCTTTTTCCACATGAGAACCATGCAATCAGACTTGGAGGTGCTAATTCCCATTCCATCTGCTTCACACTCAAATGCAAAGTGTTCCAATGCAAGCTGGAGGCCATCTTTTGATGAAGTCAACAGAACCACATCATCTGCAAAAAAGACGCAATGACACCACTGAGCCTTCCATCCCCCCACATCTTGGCTGGGCCTAGAAATTTTGCCCAAAAATATAATGACAACAATCAAAGGGAGCCCTTTCTTCCCAATCTGACTTATTGCAGAAACGATTACCAGCATCTAAAACTAATCAGACTCAACAGGCAGTTATGGCACACAGTTTTCCCCATACTATGCTGACATGTTACAGGAGGAGCAAACAGTTGGTAACTCCCTTTCTGTGATTTGGGAAGTTAAACGTTAAACACCATTGTTGAGTAGATTTTCCAGCTTAGAATTGAACAGTCAACAGGTGGAGTTTTCCTCACTCGCGAGAAGGTCATCGCTGCTTTGATTGGGGCTTTTAATGTAGCAGTATCCCAGTATCGTATCAACTCTTGTTTTCATGTGTGGCAGACCAGGTTATGGCCCAACTCTCGGGTACAGTAGATCCAGCAACTTCTCCAACGTTCTGATAACTTCCCGTATGTGAAGTTCCCCATCCAGAAGGTGAAGTCACGGTTGGCACAGTTGAAGTGTTTGTTCCTTAAAATGACTGACCCCTGGATACTGTGCATTACTCCAATTTAGAACCCATGGCAAATATATTATCTAAATATTAACTAAATACTGTAAATAGTTCCATTTATTAAAATTGCAAAGGTGGAATTAAGTGCTTTTGACCAAGCTACCCTGGAGCACCAAATTGTTAGTTACACACTGAAAAAAAACCCTAGAAAGCAGACATAGAAAAAAAGAGAAGTCTATCATTAGGAAAAGTGTGGCCAACTAAGTTATAAAAATTTTGGATTGATAGGACACAAAAAATAAAATAAAAACACCTATGATGAAAAAAATATGCATCTTTATTCTGCATGCATGTATTAATGTCAATAAACTGGTTCTTCTTGAATTTTTGTAGTGCTAGGCTGAAAACAATATTCTACTATCCTTTAAACTAAGAGGATTAATGGGGAAATCATTAATCATTTATTACTCATTAGCAGCTGTATGTGGGTGGTTTTATTTGCCACCTAACTCACTTGGTGCTCAAACAGCTCTTGATTACATCATACACTAATAAAGTTGTGATGTGAGGAGCTCATGGTCCTTTCCTGACATCATGAAGCCTGCTACTCATTCCTCTCTAATCTTCCCAGAGGTACGGTTACAGTCTGCCGATGGCAGCTGCTGAGAAAACCCATCTCAAAAAAGAACAGCTCATCTCCAGTCAGCATAGATGATGAGTCAACATGACCTGGAATGGAATCAAGTGACTGGATATGAAATGACATCATTCATAAATTTTAATTCTTTTATCCCCAATAAATACTATCTACAATTTCTTTTTTTTCTTTTTTTGCACATCTCTCCCTCTTTCTTGCTATATATTGTATGAAAAAAATGAAAATAGATTGTTTGTACAATTTTAACACGGTTGAAGTCAATATTTGGTATTACCACCACAGGCACAAGCATCCTCCACTGCAACCACTGAACATCCAAGGTACGGACATTGAGGCTGTGGACAGCTACAGGTACCTTGGTGTTCATCTGAACAACAAACTGGACTGGACACATAACTCAGAAGCCCTCTACAGGAAAGGGCAGAGCAGGCTGTACCTGCTGCGGAGACTCAGGTCGTTTGGAGTGGAGGGCCCACTCCTGAAAACCTTCTATGACTCTGTGGTGGCCTCAGCCATCTTCTATGGTGTGGTCTGCTGGGGCGGCAGCATCTCTGCTGGGGACAGGAAGAGACTGAACAGGCTG